TTCAGCAAAGTTATGTATTTGAATAATGGCAACAATTTCTTAGAGCATGATAAATTGATTAGATTTGAAAAAATCTCATATTAACTCAAAAAACAAATATTAAGGTAGTCTTAAAAGAAAATCAATTATAGCTCTACAGAGTTAAGATGTAGAAATTTGACGTCTTGAGCAAATGTTCATAAAATCAACTGTTCTGCAACTTTGCCAAGGACATGGAACCATTATCTCGTAACTGGAAAAAGTTATAAGTTGGATGTGTAATGTTAGCTTAAAGATTATTCAGGTATGTATTTCAAAAAATGCGGGATATAATTTTGAGCAACTTCTCTCAAGACACCTAGTCTCTAAAACGTTGCAAAAGGGTAGAAAATATTTTTGACCGTGTTTATTCAGTTTTGTGCCACTGTGCGACGCCACGGAGGCAGCTCCCACACCTGGACCCTACCTATCGACCCATCAGCTCATGGACCGGGGACCATCGGCTTTACTTTCCTGATTTTATGCCTCAGAAAATCCCGACGGCACCGACTGGGATTGAAACCAGGCCCTTTGGAGTGAGAGACAGTCAGACTTACCACTTACCTGCACCTCTTTGTGATGTGTTTTTTGTATCTATTTTTCTACAACTTTGTCTCTGTCGATGTATTAGACAAGAAGTTTTAAGAATATTATATAATTTCCAAAATTCTCATGGAACTTATGAGAATGTAACTTCACTCCGTCAAGTTCACCAAACCCCATCGCGATTTAAAATATCACTTTTGACATTAGACTACGTCTTGCGGGAAGGTACAGGGGGTAAATAAAAAATCTTAAATTGAGACCGTCACGAAAAAGTGTTAGGTTTTAAGTGCTTATATCATTATAATTTATAGATGAAATTAAAATCCAAATACATAAATCGATAGGAAATAAATCTATGAATCTACGAAATAAATATTTTCCTTTTGATTTACGGCTTAGCGACTTTGCATTCAATTTAATTGTTTATGAGAAAGATTGAGTGCTTACCTCTCAGTACGTTCAAACTTACTCATAAATAAATATTTTCCAATTTTCCACAATAAGAGAACTGTTGAAAAATGTACAAAAATCAAACTACAAGGGACAACCCTATGGGGATGTACGCAATGGTGACGTATGACTACGTGGTCTAATATAATAAAGATTATTTGTTAACTGCAGCAGGAGCTTGTGTTTTGTGTAGGAATTAGAGATGGGCGATCCGCTCCCGAGCTGTTTTATAGACCCGATTCTCTAAAGTGAGTTGATGACCCGCGGTTCATTTTTAGGAACCGCACCTCATCAGCTCATTGATATCACAAGTCTAAACCATTCAAACCATGACTCATGGACCTGTGTACGGGTGAACTTTAGTTCATCTACTGACATTTTTTTGACACAACAGCGGGGCCCTGTTTACTAAAAATGAACACATGAAGAATGCTCACGTAACATTTGAAAAGGGCCTATCAACTTTTGTAAATAATTTGCTAGGTCGTTTTCACGAGAACCGAAGTACGCCCACGCAAACCAAGAGCACTATCGGGAAGAGGAGAATTTCATCTGCCCGATGGTGTTGTTAGTTTGCGTGAGCGTATTCGGTTCGCGGGAAAAAGGCTTAACAAGTTTTGTGTACATAAGTTGATAGACCCGTTTCAAATGTTACGTGAGTATTATTCATGTGTACATTTTTAGTAAACAGGGCCCCGCTGTTGTGTCAATTTTAGGTCGAGTGAGTGAACTTAAATCCATCCGTGCACTCGTCTATAGCGAAACTTTTCAAAAAAGGACTCATTACTCCACTTAGGCAATGAATAGTCGCCGTCATCATTCTCTGGGGGAGCGGAAGATCCGCACAAAAGCAAATAACGGAAAAGCGAAATGCAGCTCTCCAGCTTAAATATACGCTCAGAGCTGTTTAGGATGACAACTCTCGGACCCGTCCAGCTCTCGAACCCGTCCAGCTCTTCGGATCTTTTTTTTCTCTCTCGATTCTTAACGATTCAGCTCCGAATCCGGATCTGAGCGGACGATCTGGAGCTGAAGCCGAGAATAGTGAGAGAAATTTTGTTGCAGAATTGACATCAGAAATAAAATCTGTCTGGATCGCATAGCTTGAGAGAAGGCGTAACATTGTGTGCCACGATGTGAATCATATGATCGCGTGTGACATAGGTGTAGCTCTCTCGCATACAGTTTTTGCTTTTACTGATATGTTGTTGGCACATTTTGCGCGCATTTTGGTTTACGCAATGGTTGATCAGTTGTTGCGTTAGTGGCGTTTTCCATTGAATATAGTTCCACCATATATTAAGGTACGGATTTATTGGTTTAGACTACTTTTAATTAATTAATTACGGTCATAATTTATATAATTTCAATGTGTAGGTTAATATGATTATACTTAACATTGGGGTCCCACACTTTACTACCCCTGCTTCTCCGTTTTTGACAACAAACTAGTCAAAAATAGGTAAAAGTTAACTAGCCGTTGGGTACTTTTTTCTCACCATGTACGAATGAGTTTTTTTTACGTTTAAGATGCTTTCTCTGTCTGATGCAATTTTCTGTTACTCCCTTTTTTGATTTCGTTTACCGTTCGTCCTTCTCGCACTTGCTTGTTTTTCTTAATTTTTATTGTTAATATTCGCTTATTTTTGAGGGGTACGAATTACTAATATCATTGAACCGATGGCCGTATGACGGATCTCTTTCTGATTACCTTGTGTTTATAAGTAATAGAATTTCGGACACCTAGGAAATCGTATAGGGGAAGTACACCAGTGTTGGCCATAAGTTCCTATTGTGGCCACACCTCAGAACACCGATTAAATTACAAATTCGTGCATTTGACTGTCAACATGTTTATGAATGATGAATGATTTGTACCAACAAACTGAACGCAAATGAACATCTCAAAATTGTAAACAACGTGAAATATCGTCAAAAGGTGGCTAAAATAGGAACATGACTAATACTGGTGTGGTTACCCTATTCAAAAAACATCGGTTCAAAAGTCCGAAATTGCGCGTGATTTGTTTTCGTCAACCACCCCACCCTCTGCTCCTCTCACAAAGGTTGAATGCTGATGACAATTCTAGATAGAGCTGGAACAGCTTTTGTAAATAATGACTTCTCTCGATGATTTCTCGGAAGTCATCGCTCTCCCTGGCAAATCGACATCACCATCGAGTAGAGGAAGACATTCCTACCCGATTGATATGTTGGTTTGTGTACTCGAGAAGCACACTTCGATCGAAATAAGCTGCTGCAACTTGATTGTGACTGGAATAAGTGGCACAAAAGTAACCACAATTGTTCAGTGACATACGTGTGCTGCTAGGGTAGGTATGCCTTGAGTTCCGAGAAATCAACTAGAGAAGCCATTGTTTACAAAGGCTGTTACGCCCTAATTCCAGCTCTATCTAGAATTATCATGAAAAAACAGATATCAGTGCCAAAATTTCAAAGGGGCGTAATTGCTTTTGGAAACAATGGCTTGAGCTATCGATTTTTCGCAAATTAAAGCCCATTTCTTCAAATTAATAATGCTAGCTGTTAAAGGAAACATTTCTCTACCTGCTGGTGTTATTAATCTTCATGAGTAAGCTTTCGCGAGAAATCGATGGCTAAAGCCATTGTTTACAAATGTAATTTGAAATGTTGACACTGATATTATGATGTGAAATTGCAAAAAGCAGTTTTTGGCACTCAACTCAGTGCTGAGAAGTGCCACTTTTCGACACTGTTTTGATGTTTTTAATAACACAACACAGGCCTACTTATCCTTACTAAAATAACAGTGTTGAAAAGTACTACTTGTCAGCACCCAGTACCAAAAAGTTCTACCTTTCGACACTTTTTTGAATGCAAAAATCTGGACTGCAACTCGTGCAAAATTCTATTTTACAGCACTCGAAGCACTTGGCAAGTCTCGTTGCATAAGCGACGACTCGTGCTGGAAAAATCTTCTATCTAATCTAGCTATTTAGAACAGATCATACGCTCCTGATTGGCTGCATATGTAAGCCACTGTTCAGCAACTAGAATTACCCGCTTCACATCTTTCTACTAACTGCTATCAAATTTGTTTATGGATTTAAAGTCTGTTTATAAGGGTTCATAAGTATTACATACACTGTCGCTCTTCGCATGTCGGTCCCATAGTAATTTTTGTCAAAACTGAGTTTTTCAATGCAAATGTTAGCTAATCACCCATATTTTCATAATACTGGATGAACACCAAAACTTGGTTCTGAAAAATTTTGATAAATCAGTCAAATTGGTTGTCTCATCACATAAGCAGAAGTAGGACGAATTGAAATCATACCATGCAACGCTCGACGTGCTATCTGAGTTACGAATTTTCCGCTTCGTTTCTTTCGCCGATACTCCTCGTATACAATTGCATTTGTTTTCCGACGCGTCAGAGTCAACCTGCGGGGCATGTTGATACTGCCGATCCGAGAGCAATGATCGTATCCTCGTACAACTTCTGACGTCTAAATCAAAGGTGGCGCCACTCGCTATGAAGCACTCCATCGGTCAACTCGAACTCTGCACCGCAGTTCTGTCGACCAGACTTTTCCAAAAAGTGTTGAACTTTCTATCTATCTATCTATCTATCTATCTATCTATCTATCTATCTATCTATCTATCTATCTATCTATCTATCTATCTATCTATCTATCTATCTATCTATCTATCTATCTATCTATCTATCTATCTATCTATCTATCTATCTATCTATCTATCTATCTATCTATCTATCTATCTATCTATCTATCTATCTATCTATCTATCTATCTATCTATCTATCTATCTATCTATCTATCTATCTATCTATCTATCTATCTATCTATCTATCTATCTATCTATCTATCTATCTATCTATCTATCTATCTATCTATCTATCTATCTATCTATCTATCTATCTATCTATCTATCTATCTATCTATCTATCTATCTATCTATCTATCTAATGGCTTGGCACCTACCAAACTTCGAAACCAGTAACGATGGTGGAACGGACCGCCATGGTTGTCACAGCCTTCAAACCACTGGCCACATGCGAATTCATCAACCGTAGAAGAAGCACGATGAAAACCAGTTCGTCGATCAGTTGTTCTCCCGCTATTCTTCGTACATCAAGCTGCGCTGAGTAGTTACCTACTACATCAAGTACATTCAATCAATTCGTGCTGTAGTACGGAAGCCCGCCGAAAAATCATAACTACTTCTAACAACAGCTGATCTGATAGCCTTGGCCCGATTGGCTCAATAACAGCTCTATAGGAAGAATTAGCAGATCTCAGCAGCTAAGCAATTGTGAAGAATCCTCCGGTGAAATGGTTGCATCCATATCTCAGCGACGACGGACTTATTCATGTCGGTGGTCGACTAGCCAACATTGATGTTGCAGAAGAAAGCAAACATCCTATCATTCTGTCGGCGAAGCATCAGTTGGCCCGTTTGCTTTCTGAACACTACCATAAGACTCTCCTCCACGCTGGATTATTAGAGCGAGAGATCTTGTTCGCTACAGCTTTCACCGATGCATCAATTGTCTCGGCACCAAGCCGATTCTCATCAAGCAAAGCACTATTGATCTACCAAGGTCTCGTGTTGTACCATCTCATCCATTCTCCATTAGTTGCGTAGATTATTGTGGCCCAATATTTCTCAAGTCCCCAGTGCGTAGCCGTGCACCGATCAAAGCATATATTGCGATCATCGTGTGTTTCACCACAAGAGCCGTTCCTATCGAACTAGTATCACGCCACGCTCCACGCCAGCATTTTTTTTCGTTCTCCGTCACTTCGTCGTTCGTCGTGGCCGCATCCAGGAGCTCCATTCTGACAATCTATTGACCTTCAAGAGAGCAGCGAATTCACTCCGCCGCATCTATGACATGCTGAAGCTCAACGACACTGATCTAGATACCATCTTTAACTGGTGTGTAGGTCAAGAAATCCAGTGGAAGTTTATTCCACCACGCGCTCCACATTTCAAAGGAGCCATCTCCTGCAAGAGATCGGTCAGACGTCACTAAGCCCTGAAGACTTGACAACCTTGCTTGCACAAATCGAAATGTGCTTAAATTCTTGTCCTTTGACTCCGATTCCGATCGGTTCTGTCGACTTCGAGGTTCTAACATCAGCCCATTTTCTTGTTGGCTCGAATTTCCAAGCTGTTCCGGAAGTGAATATCGTTGAAATGCCGAACAATCGTCTAGACCACTGGCAACGCACTCAACAGCTGTTTCAGCGTATCTGGAACCGATGGTTTCCGTAATATCTCGTCCAATGGCAACCACGAGCCAAGAAGGGTAGCGGTTAAAATACAAGTTGGACAGGTCGTCATTGAGAAGGACGAGAGTCTCCCACCATCGCCATGACCTTTGAGTCGTATAACAAAACTCCATCCTGGAAAAACGTTGCCCATTGATTGTTACAGATTTTATAAAAAGATTATTTTTTTCATAAAAAGTAAAGATTTAAATAATGTGGCAACTCTGATGCGAACTGATATAGCTGGGGGGTGGTGGGGTGGAAGAAGGAAATCTTTGGTCCTCGTTTCCCCCTTCGCAGTTTCTCCTTGCAATGAAGAAGGAAAATGGTATGAATCAAGCTTCTCAAATGCGATTTTCTCGGCTTGCTAATTTTCGCTATGGGACGGACATGCGAAGAGCGGCGGCAGTACAGAGTTATTGGCTAATTATAACAAGGCCAAGGCCAAAGCCAAGGCCAAGAAGCTCAATCAGTCAGTAAACAGACAGAAATAATAAAAACAATTGGCTCCAGAGAGGATCGAACTCACGACCTTCGCGTTATTAGCACGACGCTCTAACCAACTGAGCTATGGGGCCTGTTGACAAAGCGATCCGCACCTCTAAATATAAAATCTAAACCTCGCGAAAAATTACCTGATGGCAGACACATTTTATTACGTACCTACGGCATACGAAATAATAGGATAGAAGGTCATCGTTGACCTTTGTTGCAAAAACTCACAAACGTACTGAGTAAATTTAAATAGCACAGCTCGCTACAACACGTAGGTAGGTAAGAATCCAACAAAAGCACATCGAGCGACCAGAGAGATAAAGAGAGAGAGAGAGTGAACGAAGCGATAAGGCAAATCCCCGCAAATCGCTCGCCTTCTTCATCGAATTTAGATTCTTGCTGTGCTATTTAAAGCTGAATAAAGATATTCTCCCGAGTCTCGCTTCCCGGAGCTACCATGCATAGCACCGGCCGGACACATTTTGGAGCTTGTTTCGTAATTTTGGCACGTCTCCGGTGTGAAGAGCCGTCACAAGACAGAGGGCGAACGTGTGCCCTCCCGAAAGCCACACAGTCGAGGAGTCCTACCATTCCCGACGAAGAAAGACCGGGAACGAGAAGGGAAACGGAAATGAGCAACACGGCTTCCTCCCCTGCCAGGAATCATCCAGCCCTTTGTCCTCGCTTCTGAGCCTTGGGACTTGGCTCTTGAAGTCTTGCAAGATTCTATCTCGTTTGTAAGCGCAAGCAACAGTTGGGTTCACCGGTAGCGTTGGTAAAAAAAAGAATAGCGATGCTCCACCAGTTTAACCTTCAAGGGTGGTGCATAAAATGCTAAATATGATTCGACTGGTGTCGAAACAGACGCTTCCGAAAAAAAAAAATGTAAATCGGATGCTGGTGTCTGGAGCCCAAGTTGCTGATATGATAATTTAATCCGTCACTTGGTTTGGTGTGCTCGGGGATGATCAGGAACTTTCGGACATAGTTTGCGTTTATTTTCACTCAGAATGCTCTGATCATCCCTAATTAGCAGAACCCTCGCTATCTTCGCCAGCTGCTGCATCTTATATTGTTATTACTCTCAATCTCAAGTTCTTTCTTTTCTCTGTTCATAGTCCTTTAAGCACTGGAAATGCAGCGAAAAATTCTGATCAAACATTTGTGCTCACGAAAAACTCCACTCGAAAACCAGAATGCGTAAGTCCGTCTTCGTCTGGCAAAGTTAGTACATTTCGCCCGCCGAAGTTGAATGATATGGAAAAGATGTCTTTATTACCCCTTGAAACCGACCAGAAAGCAAAGATATTCACCGGATTTCTCCTTGTCAAACGTTTCCAACGTGGATATGGATCTGCGTGGATTTTACTTCCGTTGCTCGTCACATTTTCGGCGGTCTAATTTGTGTACAGCGTGAAGTCACTCGTGTTCTTGAGCCTTTCCTGACTGTCGGCGGTGTGTATCCGACTGCTGAGCGACACAGAAATGATGAAAGCAAAAAAAAAACATGTTGACGTGTGCCACCGCCGAGGAAGGGAGGTACAGAAACATACGGTGACAGCGAAAATCAATAAGTGTCACCCTCCGTAATCTAAGGGATTCGAAGGTTTTGATGGCTGCATAACTTGGAGAAGTTGGCGGCGGCAATATTGCCGCCGACGCCGTCACCGCCAGAGCAGCCAATTTGTAAAATCTTTATTGGATTTGTTTAGGCAAAGTGGATACATGACAGCTTGATAAGGGAAAATGTTACCTTGCGTGCGGAAGAGCTGACGGTGACAGTAAACTATAAGCCCGGTGCCGATGTATACCTGAAGGTATTAGGATCATTTAATGCACGAAAGAGGAGTAGTTTCAGTTGGTTGTGTAATCAAATCAATTCCAAAGTCTAGTTGAACTATATAGATTTTTGCTATTGCTTCAATACGCGTAAATCAATAATGAATTGTTTTAATTTTTTTAAAGGTTATCAGCTCCGTGAAGTCCTTGTGGACATTTAAGCCATGCAAAAAACAATAAACAATAAACAATAAACAATAAACAATAAACAATAAACAATAAACAATAAACAATAAACAATAAACAATAAACAATAAACAATAAGCAATAAGCAATTAACAATAAACAATAAACAATAAACAATAAACAATAAACATTAAACAATAAACAATAAACAATAAACAATAAACAATAAACAATAAATAATAAACAATAAACAATAAACAATAAACAATAAACAATAAACAATAAACAATAAACAATAAACAATAAACAATAAACAATAAACAATAAACAATAAACAATAAACAATAAGCAATAAACAATAAACAATAAACAATAAACAATAAACAATAAACAATAAACAATAAACAATAAACAATAAACAATAAACAATAAACAATAAACAATAAACAATAAACAATAAACAATAAACAATAAACAATAAACAATAAACAATAAACAATAAACAATAAACAATAAACAATAAACAATAAACAATAAACAATAAACAATAAGCAATAAACAATAAACAATAAACAATAAACAATAAAAAATAAACAATAAACAATAAACAATAAACAATAAACAATAAACAATAAACAATAAACAATAAACAATAAACAATAAACAATAAACAATAAACAATAAACAATAAACAATAAACAATAAACAATAAACAATAAACAATAAACAATAAACAATAAACAATAAACAATAAACAATAAACAATAAACAATAAACAATAAACAATAAACAATAAACAATAAACAATAAACAATAAACAATAAACAATAAACAATAAACAATAAACAATAAACAATAAACAATAAACAATAAACAATAAACAATAAACAATAAACAATAAACAATAAACAATAAACAATAAACAATAAACAATAAACAATAAACAATAAACAATAAACAATAAACAATAAACAATAAACAATAAACAATAAACAATAAACAATAAACAATAAACAATAAACAATAAACAATAAACAATAAACAATAAACAATAAACAATAAACAATAAACAATAAACAATAAACAATAAACAATAAACAATAAACAATAAACAATAAACAATAAACAATAAACAATAAACAATAAACAATAAACAATAAACAATAAACAATAAACAATAAACAATAAACAATAAACAATAAACAATAAACAATAAACAATAAACAATAAACAATAAACAATAAACAATAAACAATAAACAATAAACAATAAACAATAAACAATAAAC